TAGAATGGCAGTTGTCCAGACGCAGTCCGTGAAAAGTTTTCGCAGTTTCCACTACGTAATCCCGCATATAATCCCACAAAAACGGGTTATCTTCCCTTTTTTCTCCATACCTATAGGATAAATTCGGAAAAAACGACAAATTTTAAAGTAAAAGAGTAGACTCTCCACAAAAACAAAAAATTCAGGGGACCATCAAAAATTCGCTATACATGTACAAAGAAAATCATTCTAGATAGAGAGCCTACCAGCATGAATTCAAAAGTTGAAAAGTATCATACCTGAGTTTCACACTGTCACCCCATTCGATCAATTCTCGACGAAGATATACGTTGCATCCTGGGAGGGCAAAATTGATCAAAGGATCGTGGTTCATAACCCAGCCATTATGCACCATTCGAAATTTTCCTCTTTCTGTATAAAGCACGTAGTCTTCTTCATCTTCTAGATCCACTTTCGACTCGTGTGGCGATTGGAAGAAATAGCTAATCGGAAAACAGAAATAATCATAAAAATAAATATTACGGATTTTTTTTTAAGCAGAGCCTGTTTCAATGTAGTGAATCAATGTGTTTCAATGTACATACGTATCACATACGAGGATTGGTTCGTGATTTTTGTTCATTTCAATGAGTAATCAAGCTCTCTTTATTCCAAAACGTCAGAAAAGTGTCGCCTTTTTTTTTATCCAACCTGTTCAACAAATCCCGAAACTGAACTAAAAACGACTAAACTCGAACAAATATCAAATATACTGCAATTTCGACCAGCATAATCAAACGAAAGACAAATCGAAGAAGAACAGTTTTTAGGCGACACCTACAAAACAACGAAGGAATATCTTCAAGTCGAGGACGTCGGACTTAAGGCAAAAAAAAAAAAAAGTGAATTCAGGTCATTGGAAGTATGCCAAAGAAGCTTTGTACAGTAAGTAAATTCCAGAAACTCCAGCAAATATCCTGAAAACCGAAAACAAAAACGCACCTTCCAGTGATGGGAGAGTCTCTAGAAACGAACTTCTCTTTGGGTCCATTCGGGTCAAATCGTCTGTACCGATTTTGCGACAGCACATTATTGATCCCAACGTCAAGGTGATCTTTGATTTCTAAATACTTCCCGTGATTCAACGCCTGCAATTTTCCTTTGAATGCTCCACAAACAGCGTTTAGTCTGTTTTCTTCATCATGAAAATGCTGCCTGGAATGTATAAATCAACTGTCCTGAATCACATTTCCACACGATTTTTTTCGTTTTGTTTTTCATGACGTACATTGAAACGTTGTAGGTATCAAAGGCGTGTTTAATATCCACTGTAGAAAGGAATCTTCGATATTCGGGATCTTGCACAATCACGATCTTCGTTTCCATTTCGCGGAATTCTCCGGATCCGAATTCGTGATGAGCTTCGGCAGACTTTCCCCGAATAGCAT